CCTTGCTTTGAGTACATGTGGAGACTTGCTTTAAGTCCTGCTTTAATACTTTCAGTTGGCCTAGCTGCAAGTTGAGTGCAATGTTATAAAACCACATTTGTGTTTAGACGTGTTCAGGAGAGCCTCAGGACACACTTAATAGATGTCTAGATTCTTTACCACTGTACCTTGTGTAGACCTGTGTCTCAGACAGCTGGAAACACCATAAACCTCAGTTGCAGACCATTGTAGCCCAGGACCAGTTGCACTCCACAAATGCAATCTGGGGTTCTAGGTGGACTTGGAAGTATTGGCCTTGTTCCTTCTTCCTGTTACTGATTGGAAACCAGGTATGGTTGTGGTGCAGTTAGCTCTTGTCGGGAGATAGGGAGATGCAGCCCTCGGAGAACTCAGTCTACTCATAAGGCACATTGAAGATGAAGTGCTGCAGGAAATCTGAAAGTGCAGGAAAACCTTCCTTGAGGTGTCTTTTGGACTGCACCGTGAAGGATGCACAGGCTTCTGTTAGGTAGGGGCTGTAGGGAAGGAAGGGCAGTGAGGATGGCAGGAAGCAAAGGGCTCCTTCACAATATGGGAATACAGTTGACCCTTGAACAACTGGGGGGTTGGGTACCTGCCCTCTGTGTAGTTGAAAATCTGGATGTCACCTTTGAATCCCCAAAACTTTACTGTTGACTAGAAACCTTACCAATAACAATCAAATAACACATGTATGTTAAATGTATTATAAACTGTATCATTACAATAAAGTAAGCTAGAGAAAAGAAAATGTTATTTAGAAAACCGTAAGACAAAAAAGAATTTATGGTATTTACTGAAAAAATCCACATATAAGTGGACCCACATTTTTCAAACCTGTGTTGTTCAAGGGTCAACTGTAGTCTTGTTTGCACTGTGACTGAATAAAGAGCTTAGAGCCACGTCATGGAGATCCAAAATTCATTGCAAACCATGTGTCTTCCTCTCCCTGAGAGGTGAGGCAGAGTTCCTTCTCTTCCTGGGTAGATGCTGATTCTGCAGTCCTGGCAAGCGCCCGATAGAGCAGGAGAGACCCCCCCTCACTTAACATGGTAACTCGAGGAAGAGCAGCATGCAGTAAGTAGTTGGTTAAGACTTGGCCACGTGACCCTTAATAAATATCCTCTTTATTTCCTTTTTGTTGTGATATTTTAAATTTTATGAGAGAGTGTTATCTTACGAAAATTGACGTCAAACAGGTCTCCCATATGAACTTTTATAGTGGATCATGGCATCCTGACTGCTGGCTAGTAAACAGAGACTGTTCTGCCTTGGCCTTGTTCCACCCATCAGCATACAGTGGATCTTGTATGAGTCCATGTAGCTCATGACTGTGGTGAAATGGTTGCTTCTCTGTGTGTGATTTTTTTAAAAAGTGCTAACAGTTGAGTTCCAGTTTTTTAAGATATAATTTGACTTCAACCCTTTTATCCTGGTCATTATAGTTAAGGCACATACACATGTAAGTACTGTTTGCCTATGGTTTGTTACATGATGCAGAGATTACTTCCATGAATAGTTTTGACTTTCTAAGTGAGACTTATTTTAACATTATTTTGCGAGCAGTTGGGTTATTTCATTCTGTACCTCTGGGCAGTTCAAGTGCTGACCTACTTATATAGTAGCTTTTAATTAAAAAGAAGACTTGCTGAATATATTATTAGAATTGAATTTTTGTTTGAAAAACCTCATTTTCTTTTTTCTGACACATGCAATGAAGCTAAGTGTAGAAGCCTCTCCGTTTTTATTCTGATTTCACTAGCATGAGGATGGAGGCAACAAGGGAGTACTAATCAGTGCAAATTATTTCCTGCAGCAAGTGGGGGCAGTCTCCGAAGGAGGCTTGGTGCTGAAATAGTTAAGGTTATGCCAGCATTTACAGGACAGTGTGCCTTTATATTGTGTCTTTCACAGCAGTCATGGGGCATTATATACTTTAAAGCTAATAAAAAGTAGCATAAAACATTTTTTAATTTGGACTTAGATTTTACTTCGAATTTTTGCCAGGAGCTGGTTTCTATAATAACCTTCTGTCACAGGCTTTTAATTCTAGTTGAATTTTTTTGTTAGGCAATGTTTTTGTGACTCAGTTTAGAAATAAATGCATGTGCCTTTTTCGTTTTCATTTGGTGGCTTTCTACTCCAGAAAACAATGTCTGGAAATGGCTGTAAAGGTGCCTGTAACCTCGTGTGTGTGTGTTTTCCTGCAGCACAAGTTTTCTCATGGTGGTAGATCTCTAACCTTTAGATGTTGTATTGTTTGCTTAAAACAGCTATATTCTAGTCACAGACATTATAAAAATAAAGGAAGGTATTTTATTAAATAGTAGTTAATCGAGGCCCTTTGGTGCATGTGTGCGTAATGGTGGTCACATGGCTAAATCAGTAACTGATCTGTTCTATGTGGTTTTGCTAAAATAAGAAATGAAAGGATTTTTTTTCCTGACTTGCTTTTTCTAAACCCATTTTCTTCATTCTTCATTGATAAAAATTTAAGTCAAAAATAATTTTGCGTCATCCTGTACACCAAGGGGTTTGTGGGTTCAGTCTCCAGTTGGGCGCATGCAGGAGGCAGCTATCAATGTTTCTCTGTCACATCGATGTTTCTCTCACTCTTTCCTCCTTCATTGCTCTATCTAAAATCAATAAAAAATAAAAAGACTTCTCTAAAAAAGAAAGACTACATTAAAAAAAATAATAAAATAATTTATGTCATAACTTCACGTGTTTTGAGGGGGTGGCACAAAGTTAAATGATAGGAGAGCAGTGTTCATTTCTAAGGCGTGACTAAGAGAACAGCACACACTTGTATTAGGGAGTCTTTATCTTGTAGAGCTTTTTCTCTAAGAGTGGTGGATGTTGGGAAAATTGGTCTGTGACACCCCATTAATAATCAGGATTGATACAGAATATCTGGTGGTTTGAGGGTTGTCTGGATTTTTTTCTTCCCATTCCGTGTGCTCACTGGAAAGGGTGCCTTTCTCAAATAAAGCTACACATTCTTCAGTTGAGTAAGCGAAGAGGCTTTGGATATTAATGATCTGATTGTGAAGATGTTGTTGGTTATTACCCTCCTAATATCGGAAAAAATAAATATCTCCAGCCAAAGTAAAAAATATCTATGAAAACAATTTTGACTAAAACACATTATTTGCCCATCAACTAAAGCCAAGAAACAACCAGGAGGAAGCCGCAGCAGGTATTGGCAAAGTTGTTCCATTCTAGCATTTCCAGTAGGATCATGTACCCATTGGATCAAAACAGTCTCCCTTTTGGCTTTCTCAGGAGAACCTCCTGAGGCCTGATTTTACTTTTCTTTGGGTAAATTGTTTTCAAGTATCTAGGAGGAAGTAATACATACAGTGATCATTGTAACGTGGTACTATTTCTCCCTCTTAAACTAACATTTTAATATACATTCTATTTGTTTGAAAATAATAATTTCTAAGGAATCATTTAGCTCCAGGTTTAACCTATGTGTAGTGTTGTTGTAAGTTAATCTTTGATAGATAAAATATCTTTAGCAATATTACCCAGAGAGTTAATAGGCTTTCATTAATCAGTTTTATGTACATGTATAGCTGCGTGCCATGAGAAAATATTAGAAACACATTGTATTAATGCTGGCTTTCTTACCAGTCCTGGCAATGGAAATTCTCATTTTGAAATTTTCATCTAGATTTTCTACCATATCATTGGTTGTCATAGTAGCAGTCTCAATTGAGAATTGTGAGTATGTACTTTATCAAATGACTACTTGATGAAAGCTCAATTATTCTAATGCTGTTCAGTCGGAATTCTAAGCCATCATCTTGCCTGGTTAGAGAAATAATTAACCAACCTAAAGAAGAGAGTCCTTTCTATCTCTTGAATTACATATTTCACTGTCTGTGAGGTGCCATCAGTTGTAAGACATGCCATTATTTTATGTACCAACAAGAAAGGCAAAAAAAAAAAGCCTAATAGTTATACTCATGAGATGCCATCAGTTTTAAGAGAAAATCCAATTTCAGCTATATTAAAAAGATGGGGGAGGGGGACGATCTTAAATCAATAAAATATGGCACATATATACACAGTTCTAGTTGAATATTGGACATAATCATAGTATTAAAGTGTAAAGAAAACTTTTAAATAAATTATTATTTCTGCTGAACATTATATAGATTCTTTAATTCTAGAAATCTAGAATTGGGAAAGATAAGAGATTATGTAGTCAACACTTACATATAAGGAAACTTACTGTGAGATCCTCTAGAGAATGTAAAAAATTTCAGTTGATTACTTTGTTTACCAGAGCATCTTAAATTTTGCAAAAGAATTCATAGCAGCATTTCTTTAAATATATATGTTTATATACATATATGTGTGTATATATATATATACATATTTGTATATACATGTATATATACATATATTTCTTGACAAATTTTATGTATTCCTTTTCAAGATAACCCCTTTTAACATTCATGATAGAGAATGATGGATTTAGATGAGTATTCCAAAAGTATACAGACACAGCTATAATTACCAAATATCATGTTAAATACCATATAGAATTTTAAAAAGAGTAGTTCTTTTAAACAATTGTCACATTCTACCTTTGGGCATTTTTTCCAAATTTAAAGTACAATTCAAGGTTAACTGGAGCTCTGTGTGGTGAAAAGGAAATGACTTAGTGAAACTGCCCATGAGCCTGGTCCTTCCAGCCAGCACTGAGGTATGCCTTAGTCAGATGTTTGTCTGTCTTACCACTCTCGATGGTAGAATTCAAACTGGGTCCTTGTTGAGAGAGGCCAAATTGAGTGCTAGTGGAGACATTGCTGGGCGGCTAGATGGACTACCTGCAGCTCCGGGCTCTGAGGAGGTGGGTACAACAGGGTACCTGCAACCAGGTGATCTCATGGAGGTTTGAATGAAGCCCAGGGGACACACAGCGGGAGTGTGACTTCCAGGTACAGATTCAGGCATTGGGTGGGACCTGATCACCATGTACAACACAGATCTTGATTCTTGATTCTTGAACCTCCCCTGCAAAATCTGAGCAACCTGGGACCTGTTTGGCCCTTGGGTGGGGCTGGAGCAAGCCTGGGAATGGATGATATGTCAGTAGCTGTGAAGCCTGGAAGATTACAAGGGCAGGGAGCCAGATTAATCTTTGGGTTTTTTTTTGTTTTGGAAGATTGTATCACAAGTGCTTCCTGCTTTGGGTACAATTGTTGCTAATAGTGAAAGCTTACCTTTGCAGAATGTTTTCAACTTTTATCAAAGTGCTTTCACAGACATGTAATCTTTCCTTGGAAATAAACCTGAGAGGGGTGAACTGGGTATAATTACCCCATTTGGCAGATGAGAAAATGAGGCTCACAGATACTGAGTAACCTTAAGGTAACTTGTTACTGGTTCTTGCTTTTTTCACTATACCATGCTGCCAGTGCTTGAGTCCATATTTATTTTCAAATTTAGAAAGCAAATAGTCTTTTCCAGCAGCTGCTGCTCCCTTTAGGGACTGCTAACACTTTGCCGCTTATCTTTTTTACCTCCCATGGCACAAACATAACTTTCATGCAGTATTAAAAGCACAAAAGAAGCAAAAACAAATTACTCCATCATGACTTAACAGGTGAAATCTCTCTCCTCTGTTATATTCTATTAGTAATTTGTGGGAGTGATAACTCATTTCTCCAGTCCGCACTCCCTTGTTTAAACCTCAGTGAACCTCACTGCCGCAGCCGGGTCGGTGTCTTGTAGTAAGCCAAATGCAAGTCCAGGCAGAGTCCAGAGTGAGAACAGGTTAAACAAGAGCGGCCAGCATTGTCGACTTAGGATTTGTTGGTGTTAACTGGGAATGGCTGGTTTTCAAACTTTCATTTTACCTGGAGAGCCTCTGCTGTTTTTGAGAAGCTCGCTCCTCATGGCTCCTGCGCTTACATGGTCCTTGTTACGCTTCCTCTCCATTTCTTTCCAGAAAGTGTCTTTCTGGCGTTCTTCCTACAGGGTGCCGAGTATGTATGGTCATGGTTTTCATGTCTCTCAGTTTTGCACATACATCTTTATTTTAAAGTAGAATCGAAATATGAAGATAAAAAGCATTATGTAAAGACGTAGGGTAATTACTCTGGGTGAACATCCGAGTGAGTGGAACAGACAGAATTGGGCAGGCAGTGAGGAAATCTGCATTCTAATCCGGACGTTGTCCCACTACTTAATTGTGGACTTTTCACAAATCTTTTAATCTTTTGGACACCCAGTTACTTTATCTGTGGGCAGAGTTGCATTAAATGATTTCTAGAGTCTCTTTTAGTTCCAGACCTTATTCAAGACCCCAAACTGAACATACAAGTTTCTACTAAATAAAGGTAGATGTCTGGCACCCCTCCCGGTGGTGGAGAGGATGATCTAATTAGCTTACATTGATAATTTTGTTATTATTGGGAATTGAATGAAAAGAGATAAAGGTGACTGAACTTTCTTGCAATTATAACAATCATCTGAAACACTGTTATTAGCTAATAACCTTTTAAGCTTAGTTCCTAATCTTGCTCACCATAATGTGTCCAACACCTAATACACTGCATGATCAGCATGTTGTGTTTTGAGAATACTCTCGTAAAAGATTGATGGGCTTCTTGACCTATTTACTTCATTAGAGCAGATTAACCATGTCTCCTAACAGCCTTAAAATTAAGGACATGTAGGAACAAGTGATACAGTGTTAGCTGGAAAGAAATTTTAGAGGTGACATTTGACAATAGATACAGGGCTGGTATCTTTTCTTACCCTTCAACCCAGTGGGCGGTGTTTCTGGGTTACAAATTTCGTAAATGGAGTTTTAACTATTTATATTTAATTCCAAGAAGAGGGAGAAGAGGCCATAGTTTGTATTTAATGAGATAGACTTATAGAAATTAAAGCAGAGAGTAAAGTGACATGGATATTTTGTATATTCAAGTCAATCTTAGATGTTTTTATAACATTTTATTGTGTCATAGATTACTCTGAAAGACAGATGACAGCTATGCTATGGCTTTTCTTCCAGAGAAATAAATGTAACGCTCCCAATTTTGCATGCAGTTTGAGGGTGTGTGGGCTCCCCTCAGTTGGTGCAGGCCTGCCTTGTTCCTCACTGGCTGTCCCAAGTGCAGGTGCTTCATAGAAAAAGACCCTGGGATGTTAAACCTTAAAAGCCTTTAGAAATAATCTAGGTCATTGTTACTTAGACTGTGCTGTGTCATGAAATCAGTGGAAGGAACCAACAAGACCAACATTAAAAAGAAAATGAAGTAGAAAATTTCCGAGTGTATCATAGCATGTTAGGAGTTAATTTTGTGAGCGGTCCTTCCATTTGTGTGTGTGTATTTGTGTGTGCACGTGCCACACACACCTTAGTACCAGGTCCAAATAGAAAATGCATGTCTTGAAGGTAAAGTCAGAGAAACACTCATCTATTCTTGATGAACCTCTTTGTTTTGTAGCTGAGGAAATTGAGGCGCTTACAGGCTAAATGATTTTTTCAGGACCTCCACCCCCCAACACACACATACTTTAAGTTTCAGTGGCTGAGCCAGGGCTGAAGCAGTTACTTGATTGTTAATTTTGCTGTGCCACAGCACTAATTGTTTAAAAGAAAATTGTGAAGTAGATTATTTTAAAATATTAAATAGCATCTGTTTCACACTTGGCATTTTTTAACCCTTTTATTTCCCACTAAAATCATCTTGGTGGTTGTCCTGGAAAATAATCTAGGCTTCAGCTTCTTCTCCAGAGAATTGAAAAATGTTTGGGGGCCTCTCAGCTGGCTGTTTACACACCTGAATTTTGACATTTAGGGCCTAATCGGAAGAATTTCAGAACAAGACAATGAAGGTGGTTAGGTTTCACGTACAAACCAAATTAAATTATTTTGAATTATTTCTTCATTCACTTGATAATTGAATGCAAAATGTGATGCCAGAGGTTGATACAGGATAATTGGGTAGACCCAGTGACATTCCTTAGTTATCTATAAAAGGTTTTCTCAAACGTGAGTGTCCTACAGTTTACCTGGAGGGTCTTGTTAAAATGCAGATTCTCATCTAGAACCTGGCAGAGACCTGGGTTCTAACCGGCTCACAGGCCGTGCTCCAGCTGCTGTTCCTTGAGCTGTACTTTCAGTAGCAAGGACCTTGGTACGTTTCCCATTGCCTCGATTTTATTAACATTTTCATGCTTTTCAAATTGGCTACAAGACTGTAAATGTCGTTCTTATTTTTTAATTGGGTTACTTTTTGTAGTCAAGACCGTATCTCTGTCAACAACCGAGCTCATCAGTCCCCACATCCTGAGTAATCATGTCCCTCCTCATAGCACCTTTCCCGGGCTTTCGCATTCAGCACTAATTCATGTAACTGGCAGATCTGAGCCTTTCCACAGAACTTAACTTTCTGCTTTCAGAAAGAGCATTTTCTAAAATAGGTAATTTCCTTTCTTAACGGGCTACCTGCACATTTTTCTTTATTTTACTGGAGTCAAGTAACACTGGTGGCACTTGTCGGAGGCTTTCTTAGTAAAGAGTGTTGAACTGTATGCAAAATGAATAAAAATCACAGAGCCTTCTAAGTTCATGTCTGCCTTTTATGCTGTTTCTATTTTGTCTGTCCAGCTGCCAGTTTCAGTGTGTCAGTCTCAAAGCAGCTCATTTCCCTTTCCATTCTAATCGATGACTGTCTGACCTGTCAGAAGGCCCTCCCTGTCATTGTGGCTTTCCTAGGTGGGTAGTGGTCACAAAGTTTTAGTAGCAGTTAAGTAAGAGAGAAAGCCTTTGATTTTTAAAAATCATATCCTGAATTCTTAGCTCAAATAGGAACTCACTTGTTTCTGTTTCGTGGTTTTAAAAGCTAGTTTCTAGATCTCTCTCTCATTGAGTATTAAAATGTTTGAAGGAGACTTGGAAGTGTGTATTTGTGTGGTAGGTAGCCCTGTGATTGGAAACATAATTGTAATAAATAAGCAGCTTTGTAGGGTCCGTGTAAGATGGGGATGAATAACCTGCTAAAAAACCTCAGCCCTTTTACATAGCAGTGGCTTCGCAGACAGTTTTAAGAGTAACAATGACAATAAAGAGGGTATTCCCTGGATCAATTAATGATTTAGGGTCCCAGGGATCTAAGGTCTGATTTCTGGTGTGTTATCTTTGGTAGGTCATCAGTTACAATAGCTGTTGAAACTCCCGCGTGTTGAGCCCTCACTCTGTCCTGAACGCCTTATTCAGATGAATGTGCAACCAGCAGGGCTGTGCTTGTGAAGGGTACATTCAGTTGTGGGGTAGAAACGGCTGTTGCATTGGGGACAAATAGATAGGGGTGAGATTAAATCTCATTAGTCCCTCTTTAGGAAAGAATAAGCATGTGTGGAACCTACAGCAGGTGTTTTTGTTTTTTCTTAGCCATTCTTGCCTATAAAAAGCACATAGTAGTTTATAGTCTCTTGAATCAAAGCAGAGAGAACCTGTTTGCATTTTAACTAGGCACCATCAGAACATTTATCATGTTGAATTAGCCATGTTACAGTTTGTTCTGTTAGAAGTTGTGGATTATATTATTTAAAATCATGACAAGGCTAAATGTAGCCATAATATTTCAGTTGCACTTTGAAACCCTGAAAAGGGGCCCATCTGACATATTTTTAGTGAATTACAACCTTTTTCCCCCTTTATTTTCATTTTATTTTATTTATTTTACTTTACTTTTTCCCATTGCCATTTGTCCCCCCTGTACTCTCTTCCACCTCCCCTCACCGCCCTCTGCAGTCACCACACTGAATTACCCCCTTTAAACACTGATCACTGGGTTTGGATTCATCTCACTTCAAGCTTATTTTTACATCTAGAATTCGTCTGTGTTTCAGTGCAGTTAAGCCTACTGGTATAATCTTAGTCTAATTAACAGTATGTCGTGATCTGGGACTCCTGTCAAAAATCATTACGGGAGCTAGGAAACACCGGGAGGTAAAGTGAATACATGACCTCATCTCTTAGTTTGCACTAGATTATAACTTACATTCAAAGAGGCTGGAAAAAGAAAAAGAACAGTTTTTCCATTAAGCTGTGATAAATGTGTTTAGTATGGTTTTGCTGTTAATAATTCCTCCTAGCTGGTAGGGTGGAGGATTTTGTTTGAAGTATTTGAAAGTAAATGCTGCCGGGATAAAGATTTTACCGGTGATAGAGAGTAGACATCGGTCCCTACCCTTTGTTAACTGAGCCTGCTTGTGTAACTGGGGAAATAAAAGTGTACTGAAGGAAATCTGTGAGCACAAAGTCTTCCTGTTCCCAAATGTATTTCATAGGTTGTTTATCTTATTTAAATATACAGTAATATAGTACACGAGAATGCAACTACTGTTTCTTTAATATCAGAACTGTGCACGTTACAATAGGTGTCACTGTTTTGCTTGGTCCAATCATGATTGGTGACTTCAGCTATTGGCTCCGAGCACTGGCTGTCTGACTCCATCTGCAGGGCTGTAATACCTACTCTGCTCTGAGCCATTCCCCACACAACTTCAGCCGGCTGAACAGACTCGCAGACTCGCGCCACTCCAGCACATCTCGCTAACCTAATTCAGAAAACAAGTGTTGCGGCTCTCTGCCTGTCGTCTTCGCTCACTGTAGCCTTTTCAGGTGATCCAGGAAACTAGGCTGTTTTTATGAGCAAATAAGAGAAACAGGAATCATGCCGGGCATGTATTTAACAGACCCGGTACTGGATAAAACTTAAAGCCAGTAACTATTCAACATAGTGAAAAGGTCACCTTGCCTGGCTGAGAAAAGAAGCAAAATACCAGCTTGTTGGTTTCTGTTAACATCTTAGCTCGTGCCGGCCTCTTTTCCTTGATGTTCGTACCATCCTGGGATATCTAGCTCTAAAGAGAGACATACTGTACTCATGGTAGATGACAAGGAAAAGAACATGAAATGTCTCACCTTCTTCTTGATGCTTCCAGAGACGGTAAAGAACAGGTCCAAGAAAAGCTCGAAGAAAACAAATACCAGCAGTAGCAGCAGCAGCAGCAGCAGCATCAGCAAGTTGCCTCCAGTTTGTTATGAAATAATTACCTTGAAGACTAAAAAGAAGAAGATGGCTGCTGATATATTTCCCCGCAAAAAACCAGCAAACTCCAGCAGCACCACTGTCCAGCAGTACCACCAGCAGAACCTCAGCAACAACAACCTGATTCCAGCCCCAAATTGGCAGGGGCTCTATCCTACCATCAGAGAGAGGTGAGTGCCGGCCAGCCTGCGTACTTTGAAAGTTTTCCTGTGTTGAAGTTTCTGCTTTTGCACAACCCATACTGTATTTTAACATAAACCTGTGTTTCCTCTTTTCCCGGCAGCTTTATTGCTAATGGAAAACTGCCTTGTGCCTTTTCCAAAACAGTACAGCTGTTTTCCTCTTAGATAAAAATGTTTTTGCAAGCTGTAACATTTAAGTGACAGGGGTATGTCTGTGGGCCGTAGAAGACAGAAACCTTTTATTTATCCTTAGTCTGATGAAAAGTTTGGATAACTTTTTTTTTTTTTTTAGCTTTAGTTACTTCCCATGTGCTTGCAATGATTACAAACACAGTTGTTCAGTTGGAACCTTTATGTGCAGTTTTACCCTGAACTTATTAAACTGTTGCTTAGCTTGCGAATCTGTTTTGGGTTCTGTATATTGGGGAGGGGGTATTAAAAACGCATGCTGCTGTGAATTAATGATTGCTTCTGTTTATAGAAATGCGGTGATGTTCAATAATGATTTGATGGCAGATGTACATTTTGTGGTTGGGCCACCAGGTGGGACTCAGCGGTTGCCAGGACACAAAGTAAGCAACAGCTGCATTACCGGTTTAGTCCTGAGATTTACCGAGAGGGACCCTCTCCTCCCGCCTAGAATTTGGGGTGGGCAGCTTGCTGATGGCAGGCAGTGCATGTCTCACCCGATCGTTATGAAAGCTCAGCCTCTCCAAAGGGCTTTGGCCACGCTTAATTTTTTTCTTTGTTCCTTTTACCCTGCTTTATAGCTCACACAAAAACATGCCCTTTTAACTCTCCAGTCATGGGGACTTGTTGTGACAGGTTAGGAAAGTCATATGTTTGCTCTTCTCCTAGAAGTCAGTCAGATAAGCTTTTCTTTTATTTATTTATTTTGTGATGAGGGAACTTGTGCATTAATCTGTTAAAGCCTGGAGATAATTAGCAGCATAGAGACTGATTTGCATGAACATCTATCTTATTACTGTCACAGCGAGATACACTGTACCTTGGCTTTGACAAAAGAGCAGGTTGAGGTGCACTGTGTCTACTAAACCTGATTGTTTAGAGTTGTTTTTCTGGGTTGATTTGCTGAAAATGCTTCAATTTAGAGCATGAAATAAGATTTCCTTTTCTCCACAGTATGTTTTAGCTGTTGGGAGCTCTGTGTTCCATGCAATGTTTTACGGAGAACTTGCTGAGGACAAAGATGAAATCCGTATACCAGATGTCGAACCTGCTGCTTTTCTCGCTATGCTGAAGTAAGCATCATTCGTATGTTTGTAAAGAGTTTGTTTATGCTGTATTTGTACTCTGCCTATTTCACAGTTACATTTAAGTTCTGTGTAACAGAAAAGGGAGATTGATGAAGAAAGAAAGAGGGAGCTGCTTACCTTGTAAATGTTTTTGGAGAAGACTGTGCATCTTTCATTGGAAAGCATGTGGAATGATGCCGGCATTTATAATCACACCTTGGCATAGGATTTGGGCACGAGTGGGTTGTGATTTGATTGTTAACAACTTAGAATTAAAGAAAAATAACTTTATGGCATAGGCATTTTCTAATAGAGGATGTCATCTCTGAAAGCATTGTATGTGAAAAACTCTAAAAAGACTAATTTTTTCTTCACAATTCTGGAAATATATACCTTGTTTAAATACCACCAGTTAAGAGATTCCTAAGTTTTTTAGGAGTTATTGTTCCTCCCAGCAAATGTGAAACTTATTATCTGTTGAAATCATCTGATCTTTGCACACGCACATTCACACACTCCTGTATAAAATCGGATACCCTTTCTCAAGGGTACGGAGCACTTGCATTTGATAGTTGAGGGTATATTTTTGAGAGAGATGAGTAGTTTTCTATAGTTTTCTATGTATTTAAACAGAATAACTTTTAAGTGGTAATATAGCAATATAAAGCTATAAGGTATGTATTTATTAAAAAATAGTTTTATATCTCATGGGTCTTTGAGAATCCAGTACATGTTAATGAGGTAAATAGAACCCACTTCTTTACATGTACTGGGGCTAGGCAGTGATAGCCTACCATGTCGCTGAAGTCCAATGATTATTCTAAATCATATTTATATAATTTTTTGTTAAATACTCTAACACACCAGGTATATAGGAGTTCAAAGTTATCAGCTGCTATAGGAATTTTGGTTCACTAGAAAATAAAAATAATGTGTGTGAAAAAAAATTATTCAAGTTGGTCAACAAGTTGGACAATAACCTCACAGATGGTTAAAATGTTGTTGTGTATCGTCTGCTGCCTATTGAAAAATAAGCAGTATAGTTAATTTTGTAACCAAGTCAAGCTTGGTGCATGGCAGCCAGGGATGCGAGTGACAAGGAGTTAGGGCAAAGAAAGCGACTTTATTCAGAAAGCCAAGAAGATGTCAGACTGACGTCTTAAAGAACCATTTTAAGAAAGTGCAGAATTCGGGCTTCTTTTATGTCTAGGGAAGAGGGAAACAGGAGAGCCAAAAGGTGATTGATGACTATAGACATCTAGGTACCAGCAGGGGTTCAAGAAAGATTGTGAAACTTCTTTTGTTTTTTTGCCTGTTGACCCTAGTTGATGTGAGTCCGGTCATAAGGTTAGGTTCCTGCAAATCTGTGGTAAACATTGTTTTTGTACATACTTCCTTTATCTCCTCGGGAGAGGCAATTTCTGGTGAGGGGCTGTTTTTGCACAACTGAAGCCACAGCCAAAGTCCTCTAATGATTAGGCTGTCTGTATGCAAGACCAAGCAGAAGCTATTAACCTAAAAGCCATGGGAACAAAGCAGGTTTGAACACGATGGTGTCAGAGATGCCAGGCAGTTCACTGTTAGAGTTCTAGAACTTAAAAGTATTTAATTATTTATTTGCATTATAGTTTTGAAATCTAATTGCTCCTGACTTAAACTTTCACAGTGGAAGGTAGGGAAGTTAAAAGCAAGTGAACGTGTGAAGTTCCAAAATGTAAACTAATCTACCACTTTTTTTTAACCAACCAATACTTTATGACTTCTGCAATTTTTAGAGATATAAGTACAGGAACCATTTTCCCCCCAGTCAAGCCAGCTTTGTATATTTGACATTGTTTTAGAGGGGAATGCCAACACTGGTTCAGCACGTTGGCTTCACTACAGTTGAGTAGAGTGTTGTGTCATTCCAGATATATACACAATTGGGAAACATGAGTGATAATCACAGAATCACATTTTATCTAAGTCATTTGACTGGTCACTTGACAAGCATCTTTTCTCACAAATGTATTGCCTAGAATATATCTTGATACAGCTTTTTAAAATTAGACAGGCCATCCACATAAAATGAGAAAAATAGTAAGATGCCATTTGCTGCTGTCCCATAGTTGATCAGTCCTGCATTGTCCCGAGGATACAGGAGGCCAGGCTTTCCTTATGCCTGTGTGTTGGGTGAGTAGCTAGCCTTTCTGGAAAGGGGTTGTAAAGAAAAAGGGAAGACTGCTCAGGTGATAGAGAACTCCAGGGTAAGAGCTGGAGTGCTGACTATGCTTCAGAATCCTCCCCAGGGTTCTGACTTTGGCTGGAGCATCTCTAGTGGTGTTTTATCAAGAGGTTCTTACCAGTGGTAGATGGCTTAGCCTATCAGAAGAGAAGGGGCTTCCTGGGAGTAAAAATGCCAGTTCAGTTTGGGGTTGTGGACATTTTTCTTATTGCCATTGCCATCATATATGTGTGTGTGTGTGTGTGTGTTTCTACCTTACAGAAGCCACTGCTAATTTTTTGTTATGTGTATTTCACTAAGTTGAGATATAATGAATGATTAAAGGAGGAAACTTCACAGTAGCTAACCTTAGCCAGAAAGATTTTAAAGTGAAGTTTTATCAGCATGTATTTTTCACCCACATGTAGTTCTCTCTGACTCACTTGGTGAACCACAGCAATGTAAAAGCAGCAGGTGATTTTTACCTTTACATACCGTCCTAGGACTGCACTGCCCCTGAAACATTACAGAATCACAGAAATAGTACATATATAGGCTTTCCTACTTTTTCTCAATTAAATACATCCTTTAATTCTGAAGGTGGAAAGAATGTGGGAGGGGAAACAGGAGTTTAAGAGTTTAAAAAAAAAAAGCCAACTACCAAACCTGTATTAGATTCTGTACAAAGGCAACTGGAAGATAGTGTGTTGAAGTCCATATTTGCTAGCCCTTTGAACTTAGAACTACTTGAAAAGTATCTTATTTAATCTCAGGTTTTATTTTGTGTTTAGGAGAAATCCAAGTCATACTTAGTTAAAAGTATCAAGATGGAATCATTGCTAACATCATAGTATTAAAGGCATTTTTTTCTGTCTGTATGTACAGAAAGTTTTTAAAGTAAAACATTTAATGCTTCTAAAACACTGGGGTGTTGTTCTTTTCATTAAATATAAAAAAGTACATGTAATAGAATTTTGCTGGTTTTTTTTTCTCATATTAACTATCTGATATGCCATTTTATATTTTATTAAATGCAGCTTATAACATAGAGGCTAGAATGATAACACAAAGTTAATGTCTTTATACAAAGTTACTACTGAGTTGAAATACTAATTTATGAACATATTTCAGGTGTTTTTTTTAATCCCTAATCATTTTTGTAATTGCCACCTAAGATGACATTTTTTGAACTAGCTTGAAAGTAGTTGCGTGTTTTCTTGCTGGACACACTCATTTTGTGAAACTTCCATTTACATGCTTGCACTTTTTTCTTCCAGATACATCTATTGTGATGAAATTGACTTGGCTGCTGACACGGTGCTGGCTACTCTCTATGCTGCCAAAAAATACATTGTCCCTCACCTCGCCAGAGCATGCGTTAATTTCCTGGAGACCAGCCTGAGTGCCAAGAACGCCTGTGTGCTCCTCTCCCAGAGCTGCTTGTTCGAGGAGCCAGACCTAACCCAGCGTTGCTGGGAGGTGATCGATGCCCAGGCCGAGTTAGCTCTTAAGTCTGAGGGATTCTGCGACATCGACTTCCAGACACTAGAAAGTATCCTCCGCAGGGAAACTCTGAATGCCAAAGAAATTGTTGTTTTTGAGGCAGCCCTCAACTGGGCTGAAGTGGAATGCCAGCGGCAAGATCTAGCGCTGAGCATCGAAAATAAGCGCAAGGTCCTGGGAAAGGCACTTTACTTGATCCGCATACCCACCATGGCCCTGGATGATTTTGCAAATGGTGCTGCACAGTCTGGAGTCCTAACTCTCAACGAGACCAACGACATCTTCCTCTGGTACACTGCGGCCAAAAAGCCCGAGCTGCAGTTTGTGAGTAAAGCCCGCAAGGGCCTTGTCCCCCAGCGCTGTCACCGTTTCCAGTCGTGTGCCTATCGGAGCAACCAGTGGCGCTACCGGGGCCGCTGTGACAGCATTCAGTTCGCAGTGGACAAGAGGGTGTTCATCGCCGGCTTCGGGCTGTACGGCTCCAGCTGTGGCTCCGCGGAGTACAGCGCCAAGATTGAGCTCAAGCGGCAGGGCGTTGTCCTGGGCCAGAACTTGAGCAAGTACTTCTCAGATGGCTCCAGCAACACCTTCCCTGTGTGGTTTGAGTACCCGGTGCAGATCGAGCCAGACACCTTCTACACAGCCAGCGTGATACTGGATGGCAACGAGCTCAGCTACTTCGGACAGGAAGGCATGACAGAGGTTCAGTGTGGCAAAGTGACTGTCCAGTTTCAGTGCTCCTCAGACAGCACCAACGGCACTGGGGTGCAGGGAGGGCAGATTCCAGAACTTATATTCTATGCTTGAAAACACTTTGCGAAGCAGTGTGAGCTCTGAGGAGCACATCTGGTTCCTACTTGCTTGATGCTTAGCTCATCTGCAGATATGTGATCAGTGCAGGTAGTTTGTAATGAATGAAGCTGTAAGCAGTTTCTAATTTCTTCCAACCTTTTAATTATGTACAGGCAAAAATGCAGCATTTGGCTTTTAACTATACGCTTAAAAGAGCCAAGTTCTTATTAGGGCTTTGTGGTTTTTAGAATTGCATTCATCTATACAGCTGGGGAGAATGTGCTTTTTTCCCTACTGCCCCCTTGACCTCCCAGTTTTGTCCCTCTTAAGACAAATTTTGAATCACCTCAAATTTCCTTCAGGGCTTTATTTTGACAAATAGAAGTACATAGTCTAAAATAATAATGACAAGAGTTATTTTTAAACAGTACCCCCCAAAAAAGAAACAGATAAACCTCAGTGTACAATTTTGAAAGAAGTTTTGTTTTATAATAAGTAATAATTTAGAAAGTAGACAGTAGTCATGTTTAGCTTTTATTTCTTTTTAAATATTTTACTTCTGGGCATGGCTTTTTCTTAAATCCCACATTCATAAGATTGTTCCATATTAACCACTGCAAAGCGTCAGTTTAAAGCGGGAAAATAGGAAATTGGATGTTTGTTCGGCCATGACTTCTGCCACAAGCAGACTTGTTCTGTTAGATTAGAAAGAATATTGCAGTACAGAGACTTTTTTTTAGAAGTAACTAAATTCTAAAGTTTTGTTGTCATTAGGAAAAAGTTGCAGGCCTATTATTTTAAACTAAAACAGTTTAAAAAGGAAACTTAAAAAAGCCCCATCCTACACGTGGATTAACTGGTGGCTCAATAAAAGGAACAGTTTGAAAAAGTCATGCTTTCTGCCCCCTTAGCTCCTGACCCCCACCGCTGGCTTGTGCTCGTGCGTCACACTGTAGAGTCCCGTTCCCTTTTCATGAAGAGAGGACCAAACGACGCTTCCGGTGAGCAGAGACAATGCGTAGCTCTACATGCTAGTACAGCGAGACACCTTTATCCACTGGGTGTTTTTTTTTTTAATGTGGAATATACTTTACCTGTTCTACTTTGACCACATACTGTCTTCTGAGTTGATTGTAGTCCTGTCTTGTTCCTGGACTGCTAGAATCTGGCCTCTGGCCATCTTCAAGTGCCAATGTGTTCCTGCAGGGTTTAAAAAAAAATAGTCTGGAGCGATACACCTGATCATACCTAATAGTCACTGCATCAGCATCACATCCAGCTCTCATTTTTCCATGGATAATGTAAGCAAAGGCGGGAAAAGCTCATCAAAACAATTCTCCTTCAGTGATGGCTTATGATGGTTTAGTGCCCCTGACCCTGGTAGTGTCCCATGTGCTCACTTCCAGTTGAAGCTTCTCTGTGTTTCTGGGCAGCTTTTCTGCTCAGTGTGATCCTGAGATGGCTCGCTTGCCACCCAGAGTGTGGTCCCTGGCCGCCTCCTTCTCCTGCTCTGCAAGCCCGAGGCTGGCTTGTCTGGAGCAGGGGTTAGTCCTGGGGTGGGGTGTGTGCGTGGGCGCCCATGTGCACGCAAGCTGTGTGCCGACTCAGGAATGGTCTCCTCCCTGCCTGGCCAATGAGAGGGGGGACAGAAATGTTCCCTCCTCTGGCCCCAGCAAGGCCCGGTGAGTGGCTGCCCTTACCGTTTTCACTGTGTTTCTGGGCCACTTCTTCCCCTGTAGACAAGGGCTTGTTGCTTTTGGCCGGCTTCCCTGATGGAGGAGAACACTGGATTATGGGAAATGTTTTAATCATCTTTGCCATTACCTATGTGTGTTAGCATAGAATCTGGATGATCAAAAGCTGTTACTGGCGATTATAAATGAGTACTCCAGGACAACTTTCTAAAATGACCTAACAATTATTCTTATTAGGGAAATGGCACATAGTAGTGTTGGCAAAGTATCTATGAAATAAAGGTACATTTTCAGTTTCAAAAATACTTGTACAAATGAGTTTGTTATTAAATTATGATTAAACATTTCAAGAATTCACAGCTACTGTGCAAATTGGTAGACTATATACCTGATTAGAAGGCACTCATTTTTAAGCCAGAGGAGAAGGAACTTTATTTAGCACTAATTTCATCATATCAGATTGTGAGGTGGGTGTGGTAACCTTAGAGTGAAGATTGTTCATTCAGTAACACTCACTGTCCCTACCCGCTAGCCTGCTGCCCTCCCTGTGGCTAGGGACCTGCTGGGTGAACACCAGTGAGACCCTGTACACTGGGTGTAGAAGAATTGCGTGTTAATTCCTATTACCTAAAGAAAAAGACACCTTTACTACCTGATTGGCTGGTGCTGAGGGCTTGTGGGTTCTATTTGGAAACTGTATTTAAGAATCAGAAATTTTATATTTTAAACCCTATTCTCCCTTCTGCATTTTCAGCAGCGTGGAATGAAGGCTAATGTGCTTGCTTTATTTTCTTCGGTAATCTTAAATTTTGTAGCTTTTAAAACTAGAAACTATTGTTCTGACAAGGCAGGCAACTCTAGTGTATAAACACAGCTTTATAAAATGCTCTGTAGATGCTTTCCCCAATGTACCTGGCAGTCTTGGTCGTCGTTCATACTGGGGGTAACGGGGAACTAGGCTAGCAGTTCTGATGTAACATTCTTTAAGCATATCTTAATATAGTATTTAAGTAAATGGTCTCCTTTCTACATAATTATTGCACTGAACTGTCTTTTTTGTTTTTTACGGTGTTGAAATAAGCTCCACTAATTCAAGCCACTTGTGCATCAGAGTGCTTGAATTTAGTAGCTTACAGCGTTATTTATGAAGGAAAATATATAAATATGAAGTACCTCATGTTGAATGTTATTGTACTGTATTTTTAATGTCACAGTGCAGACCTTGGTAGACACATGAATGTGTATAATCATGTTAAATGCAAATAAAAATAAAAACTGGTTCATAGATTTGTTTCCCTTGGCATTTTTGTAGGGCCCTGGAAATAGTAAAAAGTTTCATTCTGGCACTTTGAGTACCACTACATTTTACAGAGATGAGTTGGGCAGGAGCATTTGTTTGCTAAGTATTCAGATATCACTGATCCCTAAAGAAGTAAAAATTTGAGGCAAAAGCATGAGAGAAAAATGCTTACGTTAATTAGTTGCATTGTCCAAAGCCTGACTCTAAGTTAATGAGAGGGAGGGCGTGGATGCATTTATATTCCCCGATGGAATTTGGGATTGGCTGGCATTCTGATGCTGTGGTTGCTCAAATGTCTGTGGATCTGGCTGTACAAGTGGGTGATAGTGCATCACGTGTAGCTTTAGATGACCAGCCCTGCTTGTTCTTGCCAGGTTCTAATGGCTTATGTCTAGGAATTAAAAGAAACAGTCATATGAGAATTTTGAATACAATTTTTATGTGCTCAACTAGTTCTCTGTTATATTTCCTCATATCAAGTACATTAATACACACATTTATACATAATTATATACACATGTACATATACTATTTCTCTGTTGCTTTCATTCTAGAATTTACTGTGAAACCTTGTATATTTGCTTAACCACCTAACCACTTCAGTTTCTGTAGCATCCCTGCTGAAAGGACTTCTGGAATTATTTCCAAGAATAAGGGAACTGGAAGTACACATTCTCATCAGCTTAATTACAGATGCAACCTGAATTGCAAAGATCTTTAATCCAGGAAAGTCTTAACCCATTCTCTCTTCTCTGTTGCTATTTAAACTTAATCCACATGTGTTTGTTTTTAAAATCCCAAGACAGTTGGAAATTATCTTGCTCCTTTATTGGCACTCAGGATGAGCATGTTATTGAAATAACACTTTACCAGTTGACTGGGGCGAGCCTGCAAAAGTTATGGACTTAAACTTGGGCGGGG